AACGTAAATAGGCCCTTTGGAACACATATCTGAGTGCTGTCAAGACGGATCTGCTTTGCTGCAGCCAACTGTGAGCCTCTGAGGTGTTACCTAGATTGACGGTGAGACGGACCCGTCCACTTTCCAATTCAAGACGCAGAGTGTCAGCAGAGTCCCGGGACGTTGTGGCTATCAGCAGGCCATAGGCCCGTTGGGAGCGGAATCGAAGAGACACATCTTCAGCCTCTGTGTGCATAACCACTGGGAGCTGGACTTTCATAAACTTACTGCCATCGTAACTGAGAATGGTCGCCTCTGCAGAGGGAAGAAGAAAGAAAACATGATGAGTGAACTGTAAAATAGACTGCAGCAATTTTATGGAAAACCAATGACCACGGCTGTCAGTTCAGTGTAAAGTGATGTTGTATTTGTTGACAAGGTTTAGTGAGGCGACCTTCAATCCAGTCTCAGAGGAACGATGAATCGATGAGTTTAAGAGGCAGAGGGAGAGCCGGAGTCTCCCAGCAGTGAATGTGAATCTAATTCCAAGACAGATGCTGTCTGTGTTTATTCAATGAAAGGTTTTCACAACCAGCAAAATTGGAGACTTATTTTGATAAGTGATGATCCCATGTACAGTGGTGTTGAAAGCATTTACATCCACCCTCCAGGAATGTCCTATAAATTGTGGGCCATTAGAGATGCAGTGGAATGATGAGACAGCAAACAACTTACAATTAACAAACTATTAAAATTCAATACAGTTTCTTTTTTCATCCAAACAGGGTCAAAGTTAAATAAACAAACAAAAAAAGTGTTCTAAATTATGGATACATACTCAAGAAATCTTACTATTAGAAATAGCAAAATAGCAAGTTAATTTACAAACTTGCTTTTTAGGTCTTGGTTTACACATTTTTGTCAAGGCTGAGGTGGGGGCATTTTCAGACTCTCATGGTTAGCCTTTTTCTTTTTTTCATTCCAAAACCAATTTTGATCTCTATTTGAGATTATGTAACACCAATATGCAACTTTTTACAGTCTGACATAATTTTTTTTTTAGACAAAAGTAAGTTGTTAAGGACATTCAAGAACAACCAAGAAATCAACAAGCCCCAAGCTTGTGAACATCAATAAAACATTGACACCCTCCACAGAGAAGCATGTTTTACATGGATATGGACCAGGGTAGTGCCAACCAACAGAGAAGAGTCTCTACCTTCAAACTCTACTGAAATTTGATACTAAATTAAGATACCAAGTCCATTTGACCACTATTTGGTCAGAGATACAGTACACTTTCAGAGGTCTAATGTGGCTTTTAAACATAAGAATATTGTACTGTCTACAAAGCAATGTGGTGCTAAAAGTGTAATCTTTTTGGCTTCCTGTGCTAAATCACTTTACAGATCTAAGTCATTGTGACTGACTTCCTCATAGCTAAAATAATACTGATTTATAAAGTCAGTATCATTTGCTGTAAGGTTATATTTGTATTTAATGATTACTCATCATAAATAAAAATTATATATATTTAGGTTATATTACATTTAATTATTTTGACACAGAAACGTCCCAAAGAAATTCTCACATTTACACATAGAAATATCACCCTTTTTTATTAAAGTATTGCATTTATGGTGTTTTTGGCTTTCCATACCTTCTGCAACCTCAAGTATTCCTTTATATAGACTTCTCCCTGTGTGAAAAGTTTAAATTTGAGCTCAAAAGTGTAAGTTCAGAACCTTTCTTTAGCATGTCATGTTCTACAGGAGGATATTCTTTTTATTCACAGCTGTTTACCATATTAATTTTATTAATATTGATTCTAGTTATTATAGGATGCCTAGAACACTGCTTGCCTACTAGGGGTATAACATCTATAGAGAACCTCTCCTCAAAGCTAAGACATTTTCTTAGGGAGCTCATGTTAGATATGTTTTAACGACCGGTTTTGAAAAGCCAGTAAAACTCTTATATAATTGCATTAATTTATACAAATTATGTTCTAGTAAGCAGGCTGTTACTGCAGGAGTGTTTGGAAAGGAAAGGTGCAGCTGGAGATGGAGAGCTGTAGAGAGCAACGGGGGCAATAGGGTACTAGTGCATTCACACCAACCTCATGACCACTTTCTCATCACACAGAGCCATGGTGTCACATCATCCCTTGGGATGACTCTGTCACATTCCTCACCCAAATCCAATTTCTCCATGCCCTCCTGGGGCATGCTGCATATGATAGGTCATTTGACAAACAAGTACCCATTGCTAAACCGTCTGCTTCCTGCCAGGCAGCTAAAGCAAAGAGCTGTTCAGAAAATGTTGCATGATGTGAAATGAAAACTGTAAAAGAACTGATTTGAGAATTTATACATGGAAAAAATAATATATAAGCAATATTACTAATGTAATGAATGGAGATATCAGTTGCTTTTTGGATTAAAGAAAGCACTAAACATCTATCTATGACAGTACTGGTAAACAATGACAACCAGCAGAACAAATCAAAATGATCTTATTTACCACCTCATAATTGCTAAAGTGCTCTCATTAAACTGTAAACAAGCAGGGAAAGTCAAATAGAGTGTGGAATAATCAAATATCTTGATTATGCAGAAAATGAGCTCATCTATACCCTAAATTGGCTCTGCAGCTTGTCATTACTGCTTAACTTAATTTCCAGCTGCATGCAACAAACATCATTAAATCTGATGAATGGGTTCATATTACTACGAAAAGAAACATCTTTAATGTTCGAGATGAAAATATTCCTGTTTTCTAAACATACAAATAGGGAAATTGTTCTACTCAAATACATAACAGTGACATCATTAATCCCTGCTGCATTGACTATGGAACTTTATCCAACATGTTTCCTCCACTAAGATTAATTTAATAGATTTTCTACAATACATTTAATGAGAATGCTACTGCATAAAGATATAAAAATATGAGGAAAGACCTGTGAGGGAATATCACCTAATGCAAAGTGAGCACCTGTCAAAAATCCAATTGTGCAGGCCCAGTCATTTTTAATGCCATCCCCATGTTCAATATAAAAATAAATTGAGGGGACAGGAGCAGCAGCTTCTGCCTGTGCCAACTCGAACTGAAAGCTACCGCAGGGAAAACGGAGTGCAGCAGACTAAACCAAGTGTTTATTTTCTATCCCATAAAGCACAATGTGGGACAATTTTCAGATTTTCTGATGAAGGAGTAGCTGGAGTGGGAGCTTTCTTAGAGAAGGCGGGATGGCTAACAAGGGAGGTTCAGGTAATCACAAACAGGAACCCAGTTGTCTTCTATTGTCCTCCAAGGAGAGCTGACTCTATGAGAAAAGATAGATGTCAGCTACATGTCAAAATTCCAGTGTCCCTGAGCAACAGGGCACTGGGCTCAGCCTGATTCAAAATGTGCAGGTAAAAGAACTGCTGCAGGGTTTGGAAAATAAATCTACACAAAAAAACAATAAACAGCAATAATTGGCTTTGGTACATCCTGCATATTCAATATATACTTTGCTGTAGTCTTCTTTTAAAATCACAGCAGATATTTTAGAAATTGCCCTGCCAGGTATTAAAACACCCTATGTGCTAAGAGAGTTTCAGGGAAACAAATTTTTACCTCTAGAGACACAGGCAGCAGCATAATGACCCACTTTAGTTATGAAACCATAGAACATTAGCAAATTCTGTTTTTCTGTGACTTTAAAGCAAAGTAAGATTCTATCCATTTACAATATTTGGAATGATAACTTGAACATAGTCTCTAAGGGCCACATATGTTTTAGGAAAACAGTCCCATACTGTATGGGTCCTGCTAAAACAGTGGTTACCAAGTGTGGGGTGCACACCCTAGTGATGTCCAGAAGTCCTTATAGATCATCCAGTTTTTATTTTGTATTTTATTGATTGCAATATAATAATATTATAATATAATAATATTACACAGTAAAGAAACAGTTAAATATTTGAGTTAAATTAACAAGCTTGTTTTTTAAAGGTGATTGAAGTTAACTATTGAAAAATTTAATTTATTGCAGATGACTTTGGCTCAATAAACTGTTGAACAGGTTGGTTATGGGTGAGGGTGGAGGAGGAAGCCTTGAAAGCCAAAGGGGTCTCAAGTAGAAAAGTTTGGAAACAACTGAGCTAAAGGATTATTTCTAATAGACATTGATCTCAGTATGAGACGATATGGAAGAATAAGACAGTACTGGTACTGTCTAATATGGAAGAAAGCATAATATACATAACTGAATGGATATGAGGGGTACAGAAGTTCACACCATAGGTATTTTATGTGTGCTCTAAATGTATAAACAACTGAGTCGGCATAGGACAGAAGTTTACAACTCCCTTTTTCTAGGGTCAAGGTAAATTAAAATCTTTAAGGGGAAAGTTTCAGTCAAGTCCCAAGTCTTATAGATTGGGATCTCAAGACCCTAACAGGTGATTTAAACATTTTCTTATTAAACCCATGTCCATGACCCATATCTACAGTAACGTTGCATTGTCGGATGTTTGGATTCCAAACCTATACTGTGTCATCAGGCCTAAATAAAACACCTTTTTCTTTGATTCTGTCAAAAATCAATTCACCATCTGAAAAACTGCACCAAGTTCTTGGTCTTAACGAGTTGTCCTTACATCAGCAAATGCACCTGCTTTTTACACTTATCAGTTAATGCAGCTCACAATGATGGTTTGTTTTTGCCATACTTGCACAGTGTGCAATTTTTTTATGTACTTGTTTATACCTAAAGTGAAATTAATCACAGCTCTGCCTTGAAATGACCGATGCCAAGATGATGAGAAGCTGTTATAAACTTCATAATGAACTCCAAATGCCTGCAGATGGCTGCAGCAAGTCTATTTCTGTTAGGTAAAATGTTTGTCTGGTTGTGCCTAGTAATTTGCCATCTCTGATATTTTTGCTTCGAAACAAAAATACATATGTTATATGCATATTTACAATTTGCAATTTACCAAGGTTTGATACAACAATGTTGACTAGAGGGAACTTATTTTTTTCTGAATTTCCAAAAACAGAAATAACAAAAAATATTTCTATTATATTTTATGTCTTTACTCTGTGTTTCTTTCAATTTCAGGTGCCACACAGATGAAACAGGACTGCAGAGAGGGCCTAATGGCGAAGCTAAGAACGACATCAACTAAGAACAAATCCAAACAGACCACCGCTACCATCAATCTTCCTCTCCAAGGTTCACTCATTGGATAACAAAATTGATAATCTCTGACTCAAACTCTTTTCAAAAAAGAAGATTAGTAACTGCTGTGCATGATTCTGAC